TTATAATACATTAATACATCTTGAGTGCAATAAAGTGCATCATTTTTTCGAAACTTACACGGATATTGTCGTAGTCGATATTGATTCCAGGCGTTGAATCATGCCCATATAACTCAATATATTTTAGTGTTATGTCTAATAGTCAACTCAAAATATTTTATTGCCACTGGTTGACTACATTCACTCTCCGTTTATTACAGCTCCCGTTTTAAACAAAAAATCGCGCTTTTATATAAATTGATGATCTAATGAATGTTTATATGTAGATTGTTGATTCGAAAGCACCACGTCTAACATTTATGCGACATATAAGGTGTCTATGTCTGACCTGATTTCTGAGCAAGGTGAGAAACTATTTATAAAATTTCGAAGAAAAAAAAATAAATGCACTGCCTATGTCTTTTTCTCATATACAGTCCTGGCAAAAAATTCTGGGACACTTGAGAATGTTTGTGCAAAATTTTATACTTCGCTCGAGTTAAACTTTATATATATGGTAAGTGTAGTTTATTGCTCAAGCTTTCATATAATGTCATATAAACGCACACTTTTGCGTTTGTATGCCATAATATGAAAGCTTGAGCAATAACTACACTTACCATATATATAAAGTTTAATTCGAGCGAAGTATAAAATTTTGCACAAACATTCTCAAGTGTCCCAGAATTTTTTGCCAGGACTGTACATTGGATTCTGCATACCACTTTCCATGCATTTTTTAATCTGAATCATATCTCAGCCTTTTCAAATTGCTGGTTTTTTATTTATTTATCAATATTTCTTATAATACGATTGATTTAATGGCAACTTGTTAGCTGCTTTGTTTCCTATAACAGCTGAAACATGTACAAATTTCATTCAACAAATCATGCACCCTATTGGAATCAGAGCTTTTCTCGTTTCCTTCAAATATAATGTACGAGTCGTATGAATTATAATCATGACCTTTCAGTTTTATTGCTTCCTTTTTTACCTCTTTCCGTATTTGCGTATCTCCTATTCCTTCGACAATCAAACACAGGTATCGTAAAAACATCCATACATTTCTCTTTGTTTTATATCTCTTATATTTAATGAATGAACTTATAGTATCACAATCAGTGTTTCTAATGGAATTCTAAAACAAAATGTACAGTACACGCTGTTTTGAATAAGTAAAGTGTACAGCAAAATGTACACAACCATTTCCATTACCGAAGTGAAGCGAAAGAGCAAAAAAAAGAAAAAGTTGTAGTAAAAACTGAGATATATTATAAAATTTTCCAGAAAAGTGTACACGCTGCTTTTTTAAGCGAAGTGTACAGCAGCGTGTATTTTTATAGCTGCAAATGTTTGTACATGTTGCTTCTGCAGTGTACACTTGCCATTAGAAACACTGATCACAATAAACTTTCGTTTAGCCTAAACAAAGAAATAAAGAATATTTTTGTGAGATAAATTAAAAAAAAATATCTTTATTTTCTTGCTTATTAATTAAAAGATTCTTTTAGATAGATATCAGTCGTTTTTTTACAATCTCATAAATTGATTGATAGATGGCGCTCATAGAGAAAGTGGATGCATATACCTTTCTTTTGCAGAGATGTTGAGTTTCATCAAAATTAAATTCAGAGTATTATTAGAAAAAAATACAGGAATTTATAAAAAATTATCTAGTGCAATATCGATCTAAATGCAAAACTATAGTGACATAGATATAAGGACATGAGTATCGAAGTATAGGTGTAAGCTCTAAATGTAACAGAGTAAGTATAAGATTTTACGAGTAAGCATATATATAAGCGTAGAAGGATAAGGACAGAGGTATAAGGATATCGAGATAAAAATATAGATATAAGGCTTTAAGAATAAAAGTAAAGGTGTAAGGATACAGCAATGAGGATACTCAAGTAGACTTAGCTAGCTCTCAGGTAATGACGATACAATACATGGTCTCATTTTCCCATATGATATACTTAATTCCGTAATCACACGTGTAAAAACAAGTTTAAAATATTAAACGAAAAAGAAGTAGTAAAAACCGTACATTCTAACCCGTTACGGATGCGTAAAAGTTTTTGATGTCATAAAAGTGGGCTAGAATTGTAAATCATAAAAAATGCGTTTTAAATTGATAATACGCCCGTAACACGTTAGAATGTACGGCTTTTATGTTTTGGAACACTTTCAGTTTTGAAAATTTTTTTTCTTTTTTTTTATTGATTTTGTTTGCCTTGTAAACTGATCATACGTTAAATAGTAAGTTTATTATAAATCGCTCACACGTACGTACAGAACGTAAGTCTCGTTTATTTATTTTCTTTTGTTAGGTAGTTTATATCACAGACTTTACCAATTGAACTCCTGATCTACGTCTTGAAGAGCGGTGAAGAGTAGTAGATATCTTTTGTTACACACAAGTATTTGTGAGTCGTATTTCTAAGAATTTTTCTTGGAGTCCCAATTTCTTGCTACATAAGTTAGAGATGTTATGTCTTTTTCATTAATTCGCTTATATCATTTTACATAGCTTTTCTAAGTTGAGTTCTTCATAATATTTTGTTGACTTGGTGAAAATTTTTAATTATAAAGAATGATTGATATAATTTTTATCACTTTGAAACATTCCGCTGTTAGTTAAAAGTATCACCAGTCATAAAAGGAACAAATAAAAAACAAACAGAAGAAAGTAAAAAGTGAACATTGCAAGAGAACAAGATTACTAGACAAATTATATTCAAATAATGCTTCCTGATAACTATTCATCCTAGTTTATTTTATTGATTTCGTTTTATGATTGATGATATTCTAAGTTAACAACGAAACGTCTCAATACAACTAATTGCAGCAGTGTCAATTATTTTCTTATTTTAATTAGTCTTTCTTTTTTTATTTGCGTCGACAGATTCTTCCGCTTACCTCTCTGTTAACAGAACATTTATTCTTTTTCCAAATAGCGACATTGAATGTTCAAGTACGCGGCGATATATTATAGTCTTGAAAAGAGTTTTGTTCGCCCTAAGCTGCCGTTTTTCTAAATATTAAACAGGTGTTGCGAGTGCCTTGCATTTCCTTTTAAATCCTAGTATAGCGTCAGGTTAGATTAATTTCTATAGAAAGTGTTGAGAATGAATTTTACTAGTCAAGAATATTATTACAGTAGAGTGAAATATTTTCAGTGAATGAGTTATGTTCAAACACGAGGACAGACGTATAAGGGTTAGGCACTGCTTTCATGTAGATATTGAGTCGTAAATAGATCCTGTACTACTGACGAACTAATGCTCATTGTTGACCGATTATATTACCATAATTTAGTGTCCACATATAGAGGACTTCTAAATTAATGTGATGTTCAAAAGATTTCGATTAGTTTCAAATAATTATTCTAGATTACAGTTTTATACCTGTATCCCTCTGGATAGACAATTTTTGAAGAAAATGCTTTGAATTTCAAACAATAACTCTGTAGTTACGGTTCGAAATTCAAAAATGTCTTTTTTTTTAATTACTTGTGCAGAAGGACATGGATGTAAAGCTAGTATCTAGAATAGTTATTCGGAATTAATCGAAATCTTTTGAATGTCATATTATTTTAGAAGTTCTCTATATATATAGACACTAAATTATGGTAATAGAATCGGTCAACAATGAATATCAGTTCGTTGAAAGTCGGTGCTTATAAGCGCTTAAATATGTAATTATAAGCGCTTTTCAGTCGCTTAAAATGTGCGCTTTTCAGCGCTTACACTGCTTAGAATTTCAGTGCTTGAAAGTGCTTAAACTTCCAAGGGAAAGCGCTTGAAAGCGCTGAACTATATATATTTAAGCACTTTCCAGCCGCTTAAAATGTGCGCTTTTCAGCCAAAAATTTAAGCTAATTTAAGCGCGCTTTTTGACTTAAATTTTCACATGGGTTATTCCTATCCATTTTCGTCAATCCTGATTTTTCGGCCTGATTCCTGATTTTTTTCTCTAAAAATCCTGTCCTGATTCCTGATTTTCAAAAAAGGCCGCTGCGACCCCTGAGAATGGTACACATAGTGCAGCGAAGTGTGGTGTTTAATAGCTGAGTCTGTCTTATGAATGAATTTGATTTTTTCGGTATGTTATTATCGGCATCTTAATTTAATTTTGTAACTAATACAGTCGAATCCTAGCATGCATACTGGGGCAGTGTATTTATGCCGAGTTGAGATTTTTCATCTTTATAGTTTTTATGTCCTCGTGGGACGTCCAATGTTGAATGCATTTTGTTTTTCGATGAATGTAGTCGATTTTCTGTCTTGGTGTGTTGTCGTTGGATGCAAAATTCAGTGTTGTGTATGATACAACTAATGCGAATTAGTCGAAACGGAAAGCTATGTGTCGGTAAAACATCTCTCAATTTTACTGTTTTTTACTCTTAGGTGACTGGCGAAAGTTGGCTTTTGTTTTGCCAGGCGTGGGTTTCGTGTCACAGCGGGATGCCGCTTGAGGAATCATCGATTACGGGTGGTGTACGCGTAAAAGAATCAGTAGTAGTGAAAGACTAATCTGCTTGTAATTGTTTTTTTTTTTTGGAGAAGCTCGGTCCTGGGTATGACCGTGAATAGTATAGTTAGAACTTTTCTGTGAGACGGAAATACGCTTTTGGTTGTTACGAGTTGTTTGTTTTGCGCGCAGTTTATTGTTTGGGGGCGTGCAGTGATTTATGCATCTTAGTTATATTAGTCATGAGTTTTCCTAGTGAAAAGTGATTTTTTTTGCGTAGGAGAAAATTCCTGTGTAGTGTACAACAGTTCTTCTTGATTTGATTGCTAAGTGTAGTCATTAGCTGATCTCTGTCCTCTAAAATGGTGGTTAAATGTCGCTTTTGCTGTGATTGTCGCACGGTCAGACCAATAATTTTTTTTCTGTCACCATGATGACAATCGGTTGTGTTATGATAGTTTCACATTAATAAAAAGTTCTTCACTCAAGAAAACAACATGATTCACACAACATTAAAAAATATTTATGGTTTTCTAGAATTTTTTTCTATGGCATCTAATCACACACATTGTACAAGTTCTATATTAACTCCATCTGAAAATGAACTTATTACACGTGTTCATTCACATTTTCCAAATAATGAACCAAATAAGTTCTATTTTTTCTATGCAACAGCATCACCTTTTAGTAATTTTCATCCATGTAGTTTCACAGAAAATGGTATTCAATTTCATACAAGTGAACAATATATGATGTATCATAAAGCAAGTAAAAGAAAATTATTTTTCTTTCTGTTTAAAAGTTTTCAAATAAAATTTTCTATTTTTATCTTTCATTCGAAGAATTATTCAATGATAATGAAACAGCTGAAGCAATTCTTCAAGCAACAACTCCGGCTGGCTGTAAAGCTTTAGGAAGAACGATTAACAATTTTGATGAAAAATTATGGATGGATAATCGAACACCTATTCTTTCAAAAGGACTTTATTTAAAAGTATAGAATTCGTTTTCACTTGAATTTAAAAAGAAAAAAGAAAAAGAAAATTTTCTAGTTTACCGAAGATGATCAACTAAAACAAGCACTTTTAAAACAATACGGAAGTTTATTAGTTGAAGCAGCAGCCACCGATGGTATATGGGGTGTTGGGTTAAAACAAGACAATCCATTAATTAAAAATCGATCGAACTGGAAAGGACTCAATCTATTAGGCTATATATTAACGGATACATTACATCGTATTCATGATAAAAATTAAAATACTTGTTTTCTTTGTTTTGCTATTATCTGACAATAAAAAAAAAATTTTAATAGAAACTACAAAAAAAAATCAATGAAAGGGATTGATCGTATTTCTATACATTCCTTCTTTCATAAGAAAATGTATAAATTCATCTTTAGTTACACGTCCATCTTTAGTTATATCTAATTTTGTCATTAAATCTTTAGCAACAGTTTCCGGTGGATAATCTTCAACATGTGTTATGCCTAATAAAGCATACATTCCTCGAAGAACTGGTTCAATTTCATCTAGAACAATACAAATAATTACTTATAGTTTTCTTTCGTAAATTTTACCTTCCGTAATATAACCATTTGAATCTAAATCATAACATTCAAATGCATAGTCTAATCGTGATCGAAGATCACCACGTGAACATATAGCAAAACCAAGTAAAAATTCACCGAATTCAACATAACCATTACCATCAACATCAAATGCACGAAATACATGATCACATATATTTTCTAAACGATCAGGAGATTCTTGACGAAGAAGACGAAAAAAATTACGAAATTCAGCTCGATCAAGACGACCATCTGGATTATCATGAAAAAATTTTTCATGCCATGTACGAATTTCATCTTGTGATAAGCCTTTTGAAAAATAAAATAAATAGAATAATCAATTTTACATGTGTCATTATTATGAATATGTAAAAAAAATAAAAATTTATAGGAGCTATGTCATGAAACATTCTTCTCAAGGCCAAGATCAATAACGACATAACATTGTCAGAACGTGACAATTCATTTCACTGGCGTTTCATTTATTCAGTATGAAAGTAATGCCAATTACTTTATTTATTGCTAGTTTTCTCTAGAAAACGTCTGATCTATGTTTTTTTTGTTCACCTGGTTAAAGAACAAACACTTGACTTCGACCTTATTGCGCTTTCATGCTATAAACAGATATGACTTCGATAGAGTACATACTATGATGTCAAATAACAGATTCATGCGGATATATATTAAATTTTACTAGTTTTTTTTTCTTTGATTTACCCTGTAGATAATGATGAATATATTATTTCATCTATCTCTTTAAATAGTTTGAAACTAAACTCAAAGAAATTCACTGATGTGAATGAGTAGCTATTAGTTAAAAATATTCAAAATATTTAAGTTGTCTTTATAAATCATTTTTTTTTTCATTAGATTTGATTATTCATTGCATTAAATCAATAATTGATAAAATATCATTTTTTACATATTAAATGCAAAATTTAATAAAGTTAGCGCAAAATAAGTATCTTTACTTACCAGTCTGTGAACAAAGAAATTTAATATCTCGTTCAGATAAAGCCCATTTAGTATCTTGGTCATCTGATTCAGATAAATTCCTATATTTATTTTCACTTTGTTGAGGTCGTTTTTGATTAATAGTAACAGTTCCTATTTTATTCGACGAACTTTTTGTATTGCCCATAATATTTTCTAAAATTATTAATAAAACAAATGTGCATATCTTTCTTTAATATAAAACAAATTCACAATACTTTTCTTCTTTATACTAAAATGCCAAGAGAAAAAGACTGATATATTTATACTTTGCCACGCTTTATCTGGAGTATGTCTCAATGTATATGCGTGTATTTACCTTTTTACAAAGCAATGAGAAGGACTTTTATTTCGTTTGCGTAGGACGTATTGACTTCCTACCTCTTCAAAGCTTTGTTTTGAAAAAGGTATCCATATAGAAATCAACAGCAGGTAGAAATAATAAAGGTGGCAAGTTTAAACTGATGGTATTTTTTTACACTGCACGTGCTTTTCTTTTCCCGTCATCAATCAACTACATCATTTGAATGCACATTGATTGTTTTCTCCTTTCTTATATGCTAAATAAATCGTAATGATTAAAGCTTCTAGACTATCAAAATACAGTTATTCACGCATATGATAGAATCCAGAAAGATTATAAAACATATACTTCCGCTCGGGCTGAGAAATCATCTTCTTTTTTTGTATAATTTAGTTAGATGTCGGTAGTAATCGATTGTTTACTGAACATTTCTATTTCAGTTTTCTATTGGCTAATACAAATGACTCTGTTTTATCTCCTTGACGAAGAAATAGTGACATACATGAGGATTAATTTTTGTTTTACCTACAATCATTTCCTTTTCATGATATTGATTATTATCAAAAGAAAATAATTATTGAAAAAAAAAAAAAAACGATGATATCACAAACAATAGAAACACAACAACAACTTTCGACAATGATTCCATTTCGTTATCGAATCTTACTGTATTTAAATATTCTTCTTGTGGTGGTTGATATATGTATTAATGCATTCAGTGAATTTCTCGCACCGAATGCATTTGGACAACTTATTATTTATATGTAAATATTAATTTTATATTTATTATTTATCTTCAAACTACCCTTAATAATCAAAACCAACAAATGATTAGATCATTAAAAGAGTTTTTATTAAGTTTTGAACTACTAAAAAGAAGAGTACAACATAAATAAATTTTTTTTTATTTAAAAGTTTTTTTTAAAGACATGAACCTTATTTTATACTAATTTATAAATTATCACGAGTTAAAATCATTACAGAAATGACTATAAATAAAACAAATATTTGTCCTTACAAAATGCAAATACTATGAATAACACCAAATCTGTGAATAATATTCTTGGTCAGATTCTATAAGCATTGCTTTTATTACGTACAAATAAAAGTTCTTTTTTAAGCTAGTTTTTTGGCTCTCTGTTTGACAAAAAGAAAGTAAATTCTGTTGTGCTTTTAGAAAAAAAACTATACTAGAAAATGATTTTAAAGGAATCTTTCTCTCTTTTTTTGTTTAGTATCCAAGATGTATGTATTATACTTTCACTAACATTACTTGTTGTTATGGTTTTAACAACATATGTTGCTCAAGCTGGTTTACTCTGTTTACTTCTTCGCATGTTTCGTTTCTCAATAGTTATTACATGTTTGTATTTAGTACTTTGTGCTGTTGTTCAAGGACTTCTACTTGTAATTTTCGACATTAGATTTTTATTTTTATTTTCTTAATTGAAAATATTATTTTTCTATAGAGTCGACGTTTTTCGAAGGATGAACAGGGACAAAGTGCCTTTCGATATGGAGAAGTATTAGCTTTTTATGTAATTCAACGTACATGTATGATAAAAATATTTTTATTGGCATTTTTTTTTAATCTGTATAATATTTTTAGTTTCTGTTTTATATTATTATGGAATGAAACGTGCTGCTTATCGTCTAAGTGATCCTCATTTTTATCAATCATCAAAATGGTTACAAGATCTTTGGTACAATACTTGGAAATTTTTCGTATTTAAATTCATTTTGTGTTTTTGTTCTTTTATTCTAGGGAAAAACGTCGTAATGTTGCTACAATGCGAATAGCTTCAGCAGCTGGATCTGCATCAGCAACAACTACTTGTGTTTGTTGTACAATTCTGTAGAATGAATTATCTTTTTAAATGCTCTTGAATCCGTCCATTGCTTTTTTATTTGTTCGTTTTTTTTCTTTTCGTAACATTTATATGTCTTGTGTCAGATGTGTCGGCGTGTGAACCTCTCGTATCATTCCAAAAAAATTTTTTTAGCTTAATATAAAAGACAAAAAAACCATTATCAATGATCTGTTGAAGAGAAAAAATGGTCTTTTCGATAGATGAATAGTTAATATTGATTAGAATGATTTAATATGAATGGAAGAATAAAATGAGATGTCGAGATTGAATTAAGCTTTCTAGTTTCAGATTATTATATATATATATATGTCAGTATCAAATCTCGATAAATTAGTGCCGACTAAATATGGTTGGCATGTACGTTTTGATAAACAATTCGATCCAACATGGAAACCATTCTCACGACCAAGAATAAGACAAGCAATTGAATATATACCATTATTTATGAGGCGATTTTCATGAGTATAAGAGGAAGAGAAACTTTTTATTGCTTTTATTTATTAGGTATCTTCGAATTTGGTATAAATTAAAAAGAGCAAAACGACGAGCAAATATGGATTATCTTAATCCGATTCCACTTCAACAAATTTATGGTAAATAAAGGGAAAATTTTAGTAACCTTAAGTGGTGCAAGAAAAGTTCTGTATTAATTTGGTTTTTCAATATACCATGGCAACAACGAGACATGTACCGAGCCTGAGCTGCTCGGTCTAGGCTCAGTCGAACTTGGGTTCAGTCAGAGCCTAAACAAGTCTAACCGAGCTTGAACGCGTCTTAGAGAGTCCAACTGAGTCTTGCAGAGCCTCAACGAGCTCGAGCTACTCGGGCTCGATGCATGCCTAGCAACAACTCGTCGTGGAAACTTGATAGTTTTCTTGTTACAAAAGTTAAAGCCTCGACTACACAACTGTGTACAAAAGTTTCATTGAAAATACTTATCAAAGGCTGAGAAATTTTAGAAACATGTTTGACTGTGAAAGTTCTCTGTCCGCTTCTGAAATTTAGAAGAAAACTTGCATCCACTAAGGAACTTAGTCTTATTTTTCCTCTTTTATCCAGTTTTATAGCGCTACAAAAGAGTATCCTAAATAGATAAAAATAATATTCTCAATTTATCGGTTCAGTTCGAAAACGACATTTGCTAGCAAAAAATATTCACAGCTGATAAGTGATCTCGAAAAATAACATTCTTTTCCAACAATGGAAACCAGTGAAACTGCATATTTTATTCTCAAGCAAAGTTTAGCGAGTCTTCAACAAAAGTACATCATATAAAATTGAATATGGTTTTCTGTTTGACATTATGAGAAAAACTTCATTGATCGTCGTCAACGATAAATCAAAGTTTTTATTATAAAACTGCTTCGTATAGAACCTATGTATTTGTGATTCGAATATTTTGATACCACTAGAAAGTTCACATCATATTAGTTATATTCACACAAAACGTATGTAAAAATTTTCGACAGCCAAGTACATGCCAAATCGATAAATGCACTTCTTATCACTGAGGTTTTTTTCAAATTTCAAAGCATTTTTTCAGTCAAACATATTCCTAACACTTATCAGTCTTTCGTAAGCACTTTGAACGAAAATATATTTCTAGGCAGCTTTGTAATAGAGAATTTACTCTTTTTACCAAGAAAATTATAAAATCTTCACGACGAGTTGTTGTTACGCTATATTGAAAACAAAACTAATACAGAACTTTTGTATCGCTTGCTATTTGAATGTAAATGAAAATCTTTTGTTTTGATTTTTACATGAAAAGGAGAAAATAACGGGTGGCCCATAAAGAATGGCGGTGTCAGTATTTCGTGAATATCTCCCTCAATTTTCATTACCCAGGCTTCAACCTTTATCTAAAAGACGCGCCATTCAATTCTCTACAAAATTATATGAAAAGAAACTCTTCCGATGAATAGCTGAGAAATCATATCTGGTCAACACTGCAATGCTCCAAAGAAACCCACTTTCAAATCACTGTTTTTCGTTTTTACAATGTTGCGTCGCTCTTTGACCAGATTTTAAAAAACCTGAATACGCCACTTTGTAGCATATGAGAAGCTCTATCAGTCAAGAGAATAATTTTTTTGACAT